CTTTCTTTCTTTCTTTCTTTCTTTCTTTCTTTCTTTCTTTCTTTCTTGTCTTCTCAGCATCTAACATAGTGCCTGGCAGATTGCAGGGATTTTATAAATGTTTTATCATCTTGATCAAGAACCCTCTCTAAAAACAACTCTGACAGCTCCAAGGAGAACTTGTGAGTCACCCTTCCATTTAGCTACAACTTCCTTTTGACTTCTGGCTTCATTTACGATAAGAATGCCAATATTGACATGATTCATTTCCTCCAAGAGTGGGTCCACTCAGTCATTCTACATGAATTTAAAATAGAATGCCAACTCTTATGTTAATGTTTGTAAGCTAGACTAGAAAACGGTGTGCTTCTTAACCCCATCTTAATCCCTTTTCTTCCCTTCTGCCACTGCCACTTCAGAAATGGAAGGGTATTCCAAAAAATTACTAAACTAGGCATATATACCCCTTTGATAACACTACTGAGGTTATACCCCAAAGAGAATGAAGAAGGAATAAGATCTAAATGTACAAAAATAATTATATCTTCTCTCTTTGAAGTGGAAAAGAACTGGAAACTTAAGGGATTCCCCATCAAGTGGGAATGGCTAAACAAATTATGATATATGTATATCTATTGTCCTGTAAGATATGATGCAATGGATGGTTTAAGGGAAACCTGGGAAGACTTGTCTGAACTGCTTCAGAGTGAATTGAGAAAAACTAGGAGATAATACACACTGTAATGACAACATTGCAAAAAAAAAAAATTACAACTTAGAAATACTTAAGATTAACACAATGACCAACCATGATTCTAGAGAAAAGATGATGAAGCATGCTATCCACATCCTGACAGAGAAGGGATCAACTCAAGATTCAGAATGAGACACATTTTTGGCTGTGGTCAAGATCAGAATTTTTTTTTTTTGACTGCATCTTTGTTATGAGGGTTTTGTTTTTGTTTTTGTTTTTTTTTCTTTTTTCAGTAGTGGAGGAAAATGGGAAGTAGAGAAAATAAATGCTTGTTAGCAAAAAAAAAATTACAATTAAAAAAATAAGAAGTGGAAGGGCACTCACTGCATTGGACTAAGGGGCATTTCTAAGAGTGTGCTGGTAAATGTTTAACTAGCTGTCCAAAAAAAAGATACATATGACACACTTTAAAGCTTAATCTGTGACACTAACATTTTCTCTATCACTTTCTGAAGTCTATACAATCAACAAAACAATAAATGAAGCCCTGATTTTGTAGTGTTTTCCAATTTCTGAAGTGTAAATGCTTCCACTGAAAATGTAACAACTGATCCTCCTAAGCTGGTTTAAGCTGGTTTCATCACACCTCCAGCCATTTTTTATTTTTATATTTCATGGGTAATAAGGTTAAAATACTCATCACCTTTTAGTCTGGTAGTCAGTGATATACCTCTCAGTACTTGGTCTAATTTGGTCCTTGGAAAGCAGACACAATCTATTACAAGGACTGTACAATTAACCATCTAGATTTATAAAGTAAACATGGTCATTGCAAAGCAGGCTTAACATTTTTAAGTGTTTATAACTTCATAATCAATACAGAAGCCAATAATTAAACAAGAATCAGATTGCCAATATATGTAGAGTTTGCTAATTTCCTGATTATTGATGGACATTAGTAAATTGATGAACATCAGTTATGACATTCTCCTAGTGGCAGGAAAGCTGACCACTTGTTGCTATTAGTTTCACTTCAGTGTCTGTCCAGTTTTTTTCTGGATGGTTTTTGATATTAATTCTTAGTTCCTTAGAGAGTAGATTCACCCACTTTTCCTCTTTAGCCCCTGTGAACTCATAGGTAGGTTTGTGATGATGCAAGGATTCTGAGCCTAAGGTATGTGAACTTAAAAATTTTTTTGAGGGGGATAAATTCATTTGACTATAATTGGTTTCCTTTAATTTTGTCCGTTTAGAAACATTATTCTCAGAAGGGATTCATAGGTTTCATCAGACTGCCGAAAAGGACACAAAAAAAAGTTGAAGACCTTTGGATTGTAGACAGTCTCTTTCTCAAGTACTGTGGACTCCATGTTTTCAGGTCTTTTGTAAATTAAATAACCATAAACAAGAAGAACCAATTTAAAAGTATGCATGATCAATTAGAGACATATGTAAGACAAAACTAGACAGGTTTTGCTGTATAACTAGCTTGCCTACCTTTAAATTGCATCACTGTATTACATAAGCTGAGATGAATAGCTAGGATGATGGGCTTTATTGGGGAATATTAATATGAAGGTTATTTCCTTTTTCAAAAGACATGTGGTGAATCATAGCATTTAATTCCTATGCCAAGAAAGAAAAGTACTTTAAAGAATGGTTTGGAAGCAGAATTCAAAGTTGAGTTGTAAAGGATATCAAGCGTGTCTGGCTCTGACTTTAAAAGACTAGCAGACTGGTTTTGTTGAACTTCCCTCTTTTGTTGTGGAAAGAGCACTAGGTTGGGAATCAGGGGACTTGGCTTCTAACTTTGGCTATTTGTGATCTTGGGAAAGTTACTTCACTTCTCTGGGCCTCAGTTTCCTCATCTATAAAATTAAGAGGTTGAACTATGGGTTCTTAACCTAAGATCTGTTAACTTTTTTTTTTACATATATATTTTGATAATTGTTTTCAATATAATTTGTTTCCTTTGTAATCCTGTATATTTTATTTTATCCATTTAGGTTTCACTAGACTACCAAAATGGACCATCACACACAAAAAAGTTAAGAACTCCTGAACTTGATGGATTAGCTCTAAAATTCTATGGTCTTGACATTATTCCCTTCAACACTTGTCTCCTCCTTCCTACTGGCTGCTTTTCTCAGTTTCATTTACATCAAACTTTGGAAGTGTCTTGGCAGGCACAAAGGTTTTAGAGTTCATATATATGGGTTTTATTACAGATAATACTTGAGTCACTTACATAAGAGTGTTTGCTCCAGCTGGAACTGCCACAGGAACTACCTTTTCCCTTTTCCTTGCTGCTACAGACCATGGATACTTTGAGAAGCAAAATTTTATGTTGGAAAAAAACATCAAACTTTGAGTCTGAAGACCTGCATTCAAATTCTGCCTCTGCCACTTATTATCTATGTGCATTTAAATAAATCAATTCTCTCCTCTGGGCCTCAGTAGTTGGACTAGATGGCCTCTAAAGTCCTTTCTAAATCTAAATCTATGATCTTATGCTCAATTCTTGGTAAACCCAGACCCCTACTTTCTTTAACCTTGTTCCCTACTTTTCACTTTACCTCAGTCCTAGTGATTCAGGGATGAGTCTGAGCAAGGAAAAGGGGGGAAGTAGGATAGAAGGGTAATAAACCCCAAGAGCTTTTCTTTATCTCATTCCTACCCCATCCTTGTTATCATAATGACATTGGAAAAGGGTCCCCAATTTTGTTTCATCTCTTCATTTAAACAGTACCAGTTCAGTTCCTGTAATGAAGCGCTGGGAGCTGCTTTTAGCTGGGGGAAAAGGGGAGGAAAAATAGACACTGAATCTATACTTTCTTCTAAAATAGAGATAATTCTTCAGCTTCTGGGTACTGAAAGACTGAAAGACCCAATATGATCCCTTATCTCTTTTCCTCCAAGTGGGAAGTTGGAAGCCAGCTTAGAGAATAATTTGGCTGAGGGGAAGGGAGGAGTTAAGGAAGATCAAGTCTAATTTATAAATATTTATTAAGACCTACTCCCTATAGCGTAATGGAGGAGATCTTGGGTTGTTAAAGACATATACTCTAAACAGGTTCTACCAGACTGCAAGAAAAGCTTCAAGTAGAGAGCAGATAACAAAATATCCTTGTTTTCTAAAGATTAGCATGGCAGGGATGGAAAGGCTCATCCTCAGTAGGCTGGCCATATAGCAATGAATTTTTACCTATGGAGACCCATACAACAAAAGAAGATACAAAATGGTTATTTGTTCCATGTAGAGCCTTTCCATTTCTGCAGTGATGGCAATAGAGTGGTAGAAAAGAGGGCTTGTGCTGATTTGTGCTCTTTTTTCTCTTCTTTTCACCTTTTAAAATATTATTTACTACCTGGGATGGCTCTCTTTGGAGAAGAGGAGGAGTACTGGGCAAAGACTGTCATGACAAAAAAAGACAAAAGATATTAATAAAAACTTATTAAAAAAATAAAAGAAAGCCAGAGGATCCTAAGAATTACACAATTTATGAATGCTATAGAGACTATAAATATTAACTGAGCTATTGATAAGATCCATATATTTTTCTTGGTCACTCTCTTGAGCTTCATTCTGGTATTCCCAACTATTTATTGGACACTTAAGACTGGACGTCTTGGATGTATCTCAAGGTCTAAAACAGACTTCATTGCCTTTTCACCCAAACCCACTCCTAAACTTCCCTACTTCTGTGAAGTATGCATCATCTTCTCCCAAGTTTATGACCATCATTTTCATCAGCTCCTCATTCTTCACACATATCCATTTGGTTACCAAATCCTGCCATCTCTACCTCCACAATATCGTACTCATCCATTCACTTAACTATTTTCACATAGCCACCACCACCTCATCACCTGTCATCAACACTATTGCTATGGTCTCCTAATTGGTCTCCCTGCCTCAAGTCTCTCCCCACTCCAATCCCTCTTACACAGTGTCCAAAGTGATCATGTAATTACCCTACTCAGTAAACTTCAGTGGCTTTTTATTGCTGTGAGGGCCAAATATTAACGTATCTGTTCAACTCCTAAAGCCCTTTACAAATCAAACCCTCCATTCCACAATCTATGGTGTAAGCTGACCTCTCTGTTCCTCATACATGACATTCCATCTCTCATCTTCATGACTTTGCACTGCCAGTCATCATGTCTCTAAATTACTCCCTCCTTATGTCCACATTTTCTAGCTTCCTTCAAAGACATAGTTCAAGCATCCGCTTCTATGTGAAACCTTTCCTGATCCCCTCAACTCTTAATGCTTTCCCTCCCTAACTGTTATGTCTTTTTTTGTACTCATCCTCTTTTTATACACAAATATACATGCATATATATGCACATATACATATATGTATGTGTGTGCCTATATATGTATGTATCTGTCTGTCTATCTACCTAGCAATGTATGAAGCAGCTAGGTAGCTCAGTGGATAGAGCACTGGGCTTGGAGACAGGAAGCCTGAATTCAAGTGTGGTCTCAGACACTCACTGGCTATGTGATTCTGGGCAAGTCACAATCTCTACTTGCCTTAATCCACTGGAGAAGGAAATGGCAAATTACTCCAATATCTTTGCTAAGAACCCCATGTAAGATCATGAAGAGTTGGAAATGACTGAATGACTGAACAACAACAACACACACAAATATACATACACATACACATATACACACGTGTTACATGCATGTGTATGTATATATACACACATATATATTTATGTCATCTTCTCCAATTGAATGTAAACTTCTTGAGAATATGGATTTTTTTATTCTTTGAATTTGTATCCTAGTGTCTAGCACAGTGTCTGGAACATAGGCACACATGTACTTGGTTGTTTAGCATGCTCTATTTCATATTATTGTCTAGTAGTGAAACAAACATATTACTGAGGAACTGAATCATATTAAAAATCATGTTTTTGCCAGAAATTAAACCAGAAAACAAGAGGAAGTTGAAACTAAAAGGAAGGATGGCTTTGAGACCATTTGTTCTTGGCCAGCAGTTGGTAGATTTAGTTTTACTAGATATTCAAAGCATATTAAGAAATATTGTTTTATTAGACAGTTGGTCATCTCATATTACAGTGCTTATGATAAAGTATTTACAAAAAACCTACTATGAAGATTATTGAAGCTTACATGCCAACATCTGTTGCAGAGGATAAAGATGTAGACAATATCAAAGGAAAAACAATTAAGCACAACCAACCGACATAGTAAGTGACCACATCTGGTAGTATATGTAAACCATAGTCCTCCTCCCCTTTTACTAAAAAGAGGGAAGTGCTTCCTTCTGAGATGAAATTAATAAGAATAAACAATAACATATTTGGACAAAAAATTATCTCACAAGTACAAGATGGGGGAGTTGCAGATGGACAGCAGTTCATCTTAAAAAGAGCCGAGGGCTCTTAATGGACTACAAACACAATATGAGTCAACAAAAAAAAAATGACAACCAAAAAAAAAATATAATCCAATCTGTAAGAGAGACATGGATGCTTAATTCTGGGCACCACTTTTTAGGTAGGTCAAGAAGCTAGAAAGTGTCCAGAGGAAGGGCAACCAGGGATAGTAAAGGATCTTGACAGCATATCCTATGAGAATCACTTGAAAGGCTTGGGGATGTATAACCTGTAGATGAGATGACTTAGGTGAAACATGATAGCTATCTTTAAGTACTAGGGGATTACACTTGCTCTGTTTGGCCCCAAAGGGTAGAACTGAGAGTAATGGGTGGAAATTGAAGAGAATCATATTTAAAGTTGATATAAGAAGAAACTTCTAAGGCATCAGCTCTAGTTAGTTAGTCCAATGCCCCCATTTTACAAAGGAGAAAGCTGAGGCCCAGAGAGGTTAAATGCCTTACTCAAAGTCACACAGATAGCAAGTATTAGAGAAGAGATTTGAGTTAAGGGCCTTTGCCTCCAAATACAGTAAATACCCTTCCCACTGTACCATGCTCTCTCTAAAGTAAAGGTTGGATGACTACTCTTTGGAGAGTTGTTCTCCATTCTCCATCCTCTAGTCATTCTAGAGGAGATTATTCCTTCTTGACTACATAACCACTATATTCCCTTCCAATTCTGACATTCTATACTACTGTAAATAAGTCAAGCTAGCACTTATCAAGCGCTTGTTACGTGCCAGGTACTGTGCTAAGTCCTGAGATACAAATATGAAAAAGAAAAAAGACAATCCCTGTTCTAAAAGAACTTATATTCTTTTTTTTTGTGAGGCAATCAAGGTTGAGTGGCTTGCCTAGGATCAACACAACTAGTGAGTATCATTTGTCTAAGACTGGATTTGAACTCAGGTCCTCCTGACTCCAAGACCAGTGCTCTATCCACTGTGCCACCTAGCTGCCCCAGGAACTTATATTCTAATGGGGGAAGAAAGCACATACAAGGGAACTAAAAAGGGAGAGGGAAGGCACCTTCCAGAGGCATGGTGGCCAAGTCTGGAGAATGAAGGATGGCTGGTCTGGGTTCCTTCTCAAAATGGAGGTTCCAGGAAGAACTCTCCAATGGGAGAAGAGGGCTGAGGAGGTGGAGAGGAAAGGTAGCCAGGGTATGGTGGTGAAATCCAGAGACCATAAGTATCCACTTACTTTCATACTTACTTTTTTTCACTATGAAAGTAAACATACTTATATTCTCTTGATAATAATAAGATAATATAAGTATATAGTATGAAAGTAAGCAGGGCAGCTAGCTGGCTCAATGAATAGAGCACTGGGCATGGAGTCAAGAAGGCTCATCTTTGTGAGTTCAAATCCAGCCTCAGACTTAGTAGCTGTGTGGCCCTGGGAAAGTCACCTAACCCAGTTTACCTCAGTTTATATATCTGTTAAATGAGCTGGAGAAGAAAATGGCAAACTACTCCAATATCTTTGCCAAGAAAACCCCAAATGGGGTTACAAAGAATTGAACATAACTTAAACAACAACAACAACATGAAAGTAAGTACCTACTGGGTGAAAACCTCTTATACTAGATGAGATACAAAGATGAATAAAGCATCATCTTCTGTCATTAACTATTAGAGAATTCATAACACTTATTAAAATAACTTTTCTAGAAAATAGATCATGATAAATACAAACAAAATGCTAATCAAGGTCCACTGAAGGAAGGATAACTTATTCCTGGGGATCAGAGAAGACTTCAAGGACATTATAAACCTTCACCTCATGCTTCTTTTTTTTAAAATTTTTTTTTTCACCTCACTCTTAAAGTATGGGTAAGACTTCAATAAGTAGGAATGAAGAATACAGGGTATTTTAGGTCTTCCAACAGAAGTGAACAGTATGAGAAATGTATAGAAAGTGGCAGTTAATACTGTTTGAGAGAGCACGGAGTATGTTTGGGGGTGGGGAGGGGTTGTGTG